AAAAAAAAGATTAAAAATACTAATTCAACAGTCAGAATAAATAAATGCATCTTCAAATCAGCACAAATTATTCCTTTACAAAATAAAACTAAATTTGTAATTTTTGATCAAAAACTTCGGAAGATAAAAAATAATATAAAATTTCACCTCAAGGGGGCCCTAAGCCAATTCCCCTAGGCCTACGAGCCGGTCCAGTCACCTTCACTGCACTACGCACCGTAGCCTGAAAAAGCCTAACTTACCCCGCGACGTAAAATCCATAAATCAATTATTCGCCTAGCGCGCATACAAAGACGTGGGAAAACGCACCTATAATCTTTCAAAAATCCGGTTTGTATAAAAAAAAAAATTATAAAAAATATGAAAAATTACGATAATATAGGCGATCAAGGTGTCTTTTTCGAGCTCTTGACATGATGGATCTCAACGTCATGATTGCGCATGTCACAGGGAAACCAAAAAGTTCGAAAGTTCAACGGTCATGTCAGGGTTCGTTTTCATTTTTGTAAACAACCAAGATGCCGCTGACGAAGTTGATAGCCACGATTTTTTTTCAGCCACAAAAAAAATTAATTTTACGTGGAAATATGAGGATATAATAACCAAAACTGGTACAGTATGTATATTGAATATATATTTATATTATAGGAAAGTGTCAGATTTGTTACTTTTTGAAAAAAAGTGTATTTTTAGACGATTTTATTCATCAGTGTTGACGACAGCGCCTTCCCGTTCAAGGGTATCATATTACAAAAATAACGATCATATTTCATATTTTTAATTACTCTAATCATTCAAGTTAATTAAAAAAGCACCAAGAAACATTTTTTTATAAAAATTTTTGATATTTTCTCGAATATTTAATGAAAATACATGCACACATTACTGCACATACTTTTTTTTAAATTAAATTTTGTTAATTAATTAATTGATTACTGACGATAATTAGAGAGCGCTTAAAACGCTTATGGGACTGAAAGGGTTTTAATCAATATAATACTGTTGTGACGCCCTTGAATAATATGGTACGTATTGAAGATTAAGCTTCATATGAAAAAAAGTCAACACCCTATTCTTAGGGGACACTTCATGTCAAGAAGGTGTCCCCTTAATAGGGGTTTTTCTGTATTCTGAAATATTTGCATGTTTGTTTTTTATGTCAGCAGGTATACAGTAACTAATAGTTGAACATATTTATTTTCATTCTTAAACATTTCATTTCATTCTTTAACATTACTGGATGGACAGTGGGTTTTTGAATCAAGGTATAAACAAATTCTTTAGCAAAACAAATTTACTGTAACTAATGTTGGATTTTTTTGTCTCATACCTATAGTGATTGAATTTCCAGGGATTGAAATCCTGTCAATTGAACCAGGATATAACAATAATATACTTGACCTTAGATAGGGATTAATGGTTTCTATTTAGAGCATACCTTACTGTATGGTACAGCACTGACTGACTGACTGACCCACTTATTTAGTGAGTGTGCACTTTGAACAATGCTTTGGTATTGAATTTCTGAATAGAATTAACACATTGACTGCCAGACCTTTTTTTTTAAACATAGTTCCTTCCTGTGTGCCAAAACAAGTTGTTTACATGTACAAACATAATTTTTTGAAATTTCATCTAGTCATATATCAATGATGTGTCTAATAATATTGGCTGTATTAGAGGACGAGTAAGCTCGTCGACGGCACTGTGACAGCACTGTTTATCGACTGTGCCAGTGTCCGCTTTGCATGGGTTGGTATATGTTCAAAGGGCGCTCCCAGTTATATGTACTGCCAGCAACACAACACAAGACAGCCTCTCCGCGTTGCAAATGCATTTTTGCTTTTACGAAAATCGGTTTTTGAGGTGGATATTACGTCACGATTTTGTTTATACAACACATTTATTTCTCAAACTGTATAGTTTCTTTCTCACCAACTATTCCAGTCATGACGAGGAGGAGAAGGATACGGTGTGCAATGGCAAAGGCGAATGCTTTCGGCTGTGCTCGTTGGCACAACAAACAAGGACAACAGTACCCCTGTAGGCCCAGAAGACCTAATATCCCCCGACAAAATAATTACAAAACAAGTAATTTTGTCGTTCCACATACATGTTTGTTGATGTTTTAGTTTCTAGGCCTAGGACATGAACAAAATTGTACATACACTGTAGCCAGATTTGAGTGATTTGACCAGGAGGTCACATTTCACCTGATAATAATCGCTACGTGTTGCAGCTAAATCCAGCGAAAATCATTTATTTGCCATTCAAACACGCTATCCATTATGTGTTTTTAATTGCTTTTTTTAATCACATTTTTTCGAACTGTTTCCGTTTCTACAGCGATAAAAAAAAAGCGATTTTTTTTTTTTTTTAATTTTTTTTAAAGCGATTTTTAATCAATTTTTTCTTCCCAGTTAAAAACAGGTCCATAGTGACAATATAGCAATATACGCATAAACCTTTATATTCATTTTATTTTTTTCAGTTCTGCTGGACAAGAGAAGCAGTTTCTGAGTGATAAAGAAAACGTAAAAAGATGGCGTTCCATACACATTATGTATCTGACAATGTTTTTGAGCTCTCTGGGATTTTCGATGGTGATGCCGTCAGTGTGGCCGTACTTGACAAAGGTGAGGCTTTCTTTTTCCGCTTTTTGGACTAATCTGTGGGAGAGGTGGGAGGGGAATGGGGGTTGTGGCCTCTCCAACTTGAAAAATATGGTACTAATACATGAAATAGCGCAATACTAGGCCTAAAGCCCTGGCCATACTATCTACGTGACAAAACAAATGTGACATGCCTATATATGGTCAAGGTGACATCACATCATGACCATATATAGATACATCATGACTATTATTATTCAACATATTTATTCAGGATACATATTTAATGAAAGTAAATGTACAATAGTTAAATTGACAGAGCATACTAAAATTGATCTACCGTATGGACCTGATTAAAACACCAATAAGATATTATTAAAAATAATTAAAACAAGATAATGAAGACAATACTTAATGTTACACTAAAATAAAATACCAACATGGAAAGAAATTAATTTAAAAAATGTCTAAAAATGTGTTTTGAAATTTGATAAAAATGTTAAAATGTATTAAAAAATCGATAGAAATATAAAAACAAGTTGAGAATTCCATCACTTCTCCATGTCCTAAGTACTAGTACAGTAAGTCAAAGTGAAAACTACAATTACAACTACAACTACTACTACTATTACTACTATATATTACTGTATAACTACAATATATATGGGCATACAACAGTTTTTTTGTGTAAGAAAGTTTGATAATCTTCACAGAGCTACAGTAAAAGGCTTGGATGGATGGCTGGCTGGCTTTTGATGTAAACACCAAGGATATCCCACGAAAGTCTGAAGAAGACTTATTTCCAGTGGGTTCCTTCTGGTGGTGATTGGGCAGTACACTGGGAGACAATCCCCTACCTTTTCTGAATAGTGTACTGTATTCTTTAACGTGCACACGAGCCATAATGCAGGCGGGACCGACTGCTTAGAATTCTCATGCGAAAGACGGTGTGCTATTGTAACTTGCATTTCAGCCCTCTAGCTGAAAAACAAGGAGAGCAGCCATTGGAATAGCATCAGCGACTGAGATGTCTCCATGGTTCAGCACACACACACAGTGGCTACCACCAGTTTAGCCAGGGTTTAAGATCTGAAAAAGACACTTAATAAAGATTTTTAAAAACATGTCTCCCTCTAATAAACCCCCCCCCCCCAATTAAAGACCTTTTTTTTCTGTGGTCTCAAATTCACTTTATTTATTTATTTAAAACCATGTTTTGAGTGGGCGACCCTTAGATCCTGTAAAGACTTTGGAAATGCCAGTCTCAAAAGTGGTCTTTAATAGAGGGATCCTTGTATGCATTTACTTCTACTAATTTTATATGAAATATATTTTTTCACTATCCTCATTTAAAAACCATTCCATTAACGTAACTTTTTTTATAAACTATTATATGGGATGAAATGGCCTAGGCAAAAATGTTGCCGTGGTAAATTTTACACGCCTCGGTAGTCGTCAGCAGTTTTTGTATTTTGAGTTTCAGCAGGTTTCTGCCAGTAGTGAATGTTTCCATGAGCAAGCTGTGTATGAAAATCCAATTTCAAATTTGTTTTAGTCATGTTAAAATCCAAACAAATATTTGTGAAGTCCATCATTGAGCAACACATGATCGAATGACAATGCACAAGTTGTTGGGGAAGTTGTTGGATTGTTGTTGTTTGGGTTATTGGGGATGATTTTTGTTCACTTTGGTTTCATGGTGCATTCATAAGCTTGGTCTTGCCTACGAAAAGGGCACCGGAAAATCAGTGGTGAGCTTGGACCAGCGCGGCAGTTACTGTACCCTGGCATTGCTAAATTTCAACGCTAATTTCAAAGGCTGTTGTTTTAATCAAATTGGAATAATGTTCCATTTGCTTTCTATCCTTCATTATTTTGTATCTTATAATTACTATATTGTAATAATAACATATTTGTTTATGTCATAAAATGTGTCCTTATAATCGGTAGTTAATTGGAATAATGTTTGTGTTTGCTTTCTTTCCTTCATTATTTTGTATCTCATAATTACTATATTGTAGCAATAACATATTTGTTTATGTCATAAAATATGTCCTTTAATGAGTAGCTAAAATAATTATGCTTAGATAGCAGTGAGTACTGTAAAATCCTATGGAATACAGTATGTTTATTATTACATAAAGAACCAGTAAAATAGAAAGAACTTATCCAATGTGAAACTGAATGCAAAACCAATCCAATGTGAAACTGAATGCGAAACCATTGTCATTGAGGTTGTTATACAAAGAAAAAAAATCGTCAGCTCAGGTCAACTTTATTTAATCATGGAGGCCCAGATGAGTGTGTGGTTGTCTCCCCTGAGGCTGTGCATGGTTGTTTGCTTCGAGACAATGCATGAATTCAAATACAATGTTACAATAAGCAATGATCGGTATTCTGTGTGCTGTGTGTAAGCTGGTAGGCTTCTGTATTATGTGCTAACAAAGCTAGCAATGTTAGACCTTAGTACGGATACGATAATTAATATTTATTGTGTTTTAAAAACTTGTAATGCTATTTTGATTGATGTTCCTAAAAAAAATAAACATTTTCTTAAAGCATTTTAGAGAATATGGTAATCCCTTTTTCAAATTTTGACAGGTGCAGACAGGTAATCGTGTGACGATTTCATATCTAGGCTAGGCTACAATCTAGGCCTTGGCAGCTTCCTGTCTAATCCCAATTTCGTTCCCTGAGTCTTTAAAGTAGGCCTAGGATCTCATTAATGTTCAATTTCTAGTTTATTAGTGTCTACTGATTCAAGGAATTTCTTAATTTTTCGTACTTACCTGTAATATTGAATTTGAAGTAACTTTATTGGGGTTCTAATCAACCTTGTTTTACGAAAGTAATTTTTTTTCAACCACTTTTTAACAAACTGTGATTGGGCGAGTGTCCGCCTTCTCTTATTTATTTATTTATTTAAAACCATGTTTTGAGTGGGCGACCCTTACAGAATAAATCTGATGTTCAGGGCCCCACTTAAATACAAATATATAAAAAGTATATAAAAATAGCCAATCTATCAATTAATAATAAAATTTAAAACAGCAAATATTTAAATTCTAAAAATATAAAATAAATAGGTGTGCGTCGTAGTCCTAGTGTAAAAACACTAGCCTAGAATTCATCGTGGTGCACAATATGTACTTGAGTTGAATTAGTCTTTTGCGCGCTAACCTAAAAATCATCAAGCCAACCATGCAATATATGGAAAATAATTCAAAAAAGGGGACAGGAAAATAACATTAGGAGTTGCAGTGATGACATCACGATTGACTTTAAAATATAATAAAGTATTAGTAAATGTAGTAATATAAAAATTATGTTTCAAGTTTACATGCTATAAAAATATTTTTTACAGCATACCTAATAAGCTACATTACTTATATTCATATAAAGGCAATACAAAATTAGGATATTGGAAGTCCGCACAAAGTAGTATAAAAGGATGTTCCGGTTTAATGCTTCTAAATAAGCTACATTTCAATAAGCAATACAAAATTAGAATGGCTAGCTATAAAGATATATTTATTTCTACAGTACTAAAATATATTTACAAGACAGGAAGCCGACATATTGTAAACCATTTTATGTATATAAACAAAGCAATTCAAGTTGTATTTAAGTGTTTTCCATTTCAATGGTTTCCTTAATACTTCAATACTCAGGGGTCCCAAGTTGTGCATGTCAAAATCCTCGAGATTTTGTCGTGCAGGACAGGCATTGGTTTGCAACGCATTTACCTTTCTAAAACGCATGTAAAAGGACATGAGTGTACAAATTTATCGCCTTGTTCAATATAAAAACACACAGGGTAGGCCTACTGTAGGTTTAGGTCACTGTTAATACCATATTACGTAGAATGTTCAATAAATCTTATGTCTGCCAGATTTAATAATGCATAAAAATGGTAAAATTCGGCTTAGCAAAAGCCATAATTCTGAAAATCTGTTAAAATCCTGGAGAAACACAATAGAAATTCAATTTCCGGGAGAAAATGTGGAATTTCTGGGAGACCAAGAGATGAACCAAATTTTCTGGAGACCCCAGGGTACTGTAATCTGGGAGACATGGGAGCCCTGCAGGGGCGGATCCAGCCCGCAAGAAAGAGGGGGTGTGAATGTGCGAACTGAGTCTCAGGGAAGAACCCTTGGTATCTACAAGGGGGATAATCTCCCTCAAACCTCTAGCACCAGCTTTATTAATAAGATGTTAATGATTGATTTTTACTATTTAGCTTGGTAACTTCTGATAAGCGATTTACAAAAATTATTTTTCACAAAATAATAGTGGCGTGCGCCCCCCCCCCCCCCTCTAAATCCGCCACTG